CAGCTGGCAATTTATTTATAACTGATTGTGTGAGAATCTTGTTTGTGATTATGAAAACCCCATATCTTTTACTCTGAGCAGTTATTACATCAAACAGTTGTTGAATAACTAGTCTTATTTTTCTAGGCTCTTTATTATTTTTTTAAAAGATATTTTTATTGATTTTTTACAGAGAGGAAGGAGAAGGAGAGAAAATTAGAAATATCGATGAGAGAAAACATCAATCAGCTGCCTCCTGCACACCTCCTACTGGGGATGTGTCCACAACCAAAATACAAGCCCTTGACCAGAATCGAACCTGTGACTCTTGAGTCCACAGGCTGACGCTCTACCCATTGAGACAAACTGGAAATATTTTTAATATCCACCCCTAAGAGCAGCTTATAGTACGTATTCCCTAATTACAAACACAAATTCCTTTGGTTACCTAATAAAATGATAATGTCTTAACAGAAAATTTTAAGTTTGATGCAAGGGAAAAAATAGGACAATCTATGCTACTTTGCTGTACAAATCCAAGCTGCCCTACAGATACTATGAACTTACATCTCTGTGTCCTGTGATCTGCTTGGATTCCTCTGTGCTCTATTTGGATTCTCCTATGTGCTCCAGAAATTGCCTCCAAGCAGAAAGCCGGAGCAGTTATAGGACTCAGCTCATTTGTTTCCCTTCTCATAAGAATCACAGTCTTGCACTGCTTATTGCCCAATGTTGTCTTACAGATTTTGTTTAATTTTTTTAGTTGGTAAAAGAGCAAATGTGTTCCAGTTACTCTGCCATGGCCAGAAGTGGGACTTATTTGGGATTTCTTCTAACATGTTTAAATCTATAGTAAAATTAGTTCATGTTTAAAATCAACTATGTTTATATCTAGGAATAAGTCCTCTAATTGCAAAGTAGTGAATGATTAATCAAGATTTTAATATATTAGCTACGATGGCACTTTTATAGGCAAGCTAGCATTGTATCAGTGTGAGTATAATATTACTCACTTTATAAGTAAGATGGTTTTTTTTGTATATGTGTCTTTTATTTTTATAAAACATTTGCTGCTAATTTTTTCATTATCTTAATCTCTTTATAGTAAGAAGAAAATATTAGGTGCAATATTAGCTTAACCTTGAGGAGAGTTTGTAACAAAACTGTCAGTTTCCAAGAAAGAGGGAGAAAATGAAAATTACTGGCTAGTGTGTTTATTTCACTTAGCAAGTGAAAACAGCTTATTAAGCCAGAACTTATTTACATTTGGGCTCTAGCAGACTACAGATGCTGCTAAGAACTACCAGTCATTCAAATTGCAAATAAAAATCACTTGAAACCCACAGTAATAACCTTATATTTACCACTTTCATACTTCTATGCCTAAGTAAAATACTAGGTTTTATTTTATTGTATTGGTTTTATGGTCAGTTTTTAGCAACCTTTGTTTTTTTGTGGACTATATTGTGTTGACATCCTATCTAACAAAGAGGGAATATGCTAATTGACCATCACACCCTCACAAAGATGGTGGGACCCACAGCTAATAAGGAGGGAATATGCTAATTGACTGCCATGCCCTCAAAGATGGCGGTGCTTAGTCCTCACAGCCCGGTGAGGTTGGCAGGCACGCAGCATGGCCAGGCCCACCCTAGGCAGGTCTAGCTGCTCCATGTGCCTGCCTCCGTAGTACCCCAGTTCCCTCAGCCACCCAGGGCCGGCCCGAGGCACAGGCAAGTCTTGGATGTCAGCTGCCTGGCTTCCCAGGGCTGCCCAAGACTCAGATAACCAGGGCTGGCCGAGGCTTGAGCTACTAGCAGTAGTAGCAGCAGATGTGTGATGGGGGCATCGCCTTCCCCCGATTGCTGGGTCACTTCCCACCCCTGAGGGCTCCTGGACTGAGAGAGGGGGCAGGCCAGGCTGAGGGGACCTCCACCCCCTCCCACTCCAGTACATGAATTTTCATCCACCAGGCCTTTAGTCAGTTAAGATTATATAGGATTCAGGGATACAATTTTATAATGCATTGTCTGTATATTGTATTGTGTTTTCACTACCCAATTCAAATCTCCTTCCTTCACCATTTATAACTGGTTTTATTTTTCTGTTGCATGCAAAAATTAATTTGTTATCAACCAATACCTGGTTATCTAAAAGATAGTTTTATCTTAAATCTCTTTTTTATAAGTTCATGGTCTTTGCAGGACGGAGATATATGGAGATGTAAACTTTTTTCATTGTTTGTTAGTATGAACAGTTTTGAGTGTTGCTAAGAATTCTTAGGACAACACTTTGTCACCTATATGTCAGTCCCAAAAGACAGTTCCAACTGGGCTCTTAACTTCCTGTGTTATCTTCTTTGTAAATGAGATATTTATCTGTCTCCACAGGAAAAGATGTTTAGTGTTAACACTGTGGTAGCATCTGATATGGCATCACTTGTTAATGCCACAATAGTCCTGAGGTTACAAAAGACATTGTTTCTGGTGGATAGTTATCAGATGTCTTCCTACTTAGGTTTAGTGTAGTAATTATACAGACTTCAGATTCTTCTTATGTGGTGATGTATTATTTAATTGAGCCTAGTCTTTCATACTAGGCTCAAATAAATAATACGTAATTTATAACCTCTAAAACTGGCAGAGGGGGTGGGCCTTCATCTTTACCAGGTTTTGCTCCTTCCTCCTTTGTATTAAAAGGTGACTAGAGACTGGCTGGTGTGGCTTAGCGGTTGATTATCAATCTATGAACCAGGAGATCACGTTTTGATTCCTAGTCAGGGCATAAGCCTGAGTTTTGGGCTCGATCCCCAGGAGGGATTATGAAGGGCACAGCCGATCAGTCAATGATATTCATATTCATATTTTCTCTCCCTCTCTCTCTCTCTCTCTCTCTCTCTCTCTCTCTCTCTCTCTCTCTCTCTCTCTCTCTCATTGATGTTTCTAACTGTTCCTCTCCATTCCTCTCTGAAATCTGTGTGTGTGTATTTTTTAAGGGGACTAGAATTAAACTGGCAGAAAGAGATAGAATTTTGGTCATAAAATTTTCACATCCTATCATTGTATGTTCCATTGTATGTATAGCAGAGAGAGCAGCTTTGGGTGACTGCAGTGTTTGAAGATGGTGACCAGGGCTTTCTTGGAGATTGGAGTCTTTGCTCAAACAGAAACTAGATCAGTCACTGCTATTTGTGGCTTCATATCTGGAAGGTGTTCACAGAAGGATCATGTCTGGGTCCAAAGTGGATGTTGAAACTAATTCTAAAAGTGAATACTGTATTACCCCTGTTACTATTTTCAGGAATGCATGTGCTGATTTAAGGGAAAACCTCCACTAGGAAAATACTGGAGGAGGAGAGGAAAAAGTTCTTAGCATCCCTGACCAGGTATGAAAAATAAATGATAGAGACTTATTAACAGGAGAAGAGCATACAGACTTATTTAAGCTTTATGTGACACAGGAACCTTCACAAGGAAATGAAGACCCAAAAAACAAGCCTGTGTAATTGGTGCTGAGTTTGAGGAAGAGGGGCAGTTGTAGAATGTGGAATGTTACTGAGCAGCGTGAAGGAAAGAGCAAGGCCTGTTTGTTTGGATTCTTCTTGGCATCCCTTTGTCTTGGAGATAAGGGTGTTGCTTTCTTCTGCTGATAGGGTGGGCATCTCTCACCTGAGGGCTTTATGACCTGATTTGTGTTGGGAGTGGTCAGAGAGATCTTCCTATTTCTGTTGTTTTCTCAAATCCTTTTAGCTTAGAGTATACAGTATGCTAAGATGCCATGTTTTGAGGGTTTTTTGTTGTTGTTCCTAACCCCCCTACCAGGAATTCTCATGCCCATGCCAGCAAAAACATGTCTTTTATTCCTTCTTGACATAATCATGAGTTTTATCACTACCAACTACAACCAAGAAATGTGATACTAAAATTTTGAGGGGTAGTAGAAAAAATTATTTCCTGTCACACCAGTGGCAAAAACATGACCATTTTCCAAAAGTAACTTTACTAGGAATCAAAGAGAAGTAAAAAAATAGAAATGTCCGAGTTTATAGAGTACAGATGCCTGACTTTCCCAGCTGCAGACAGGAGTTTTCTTTCTTGTCTTCATCACCTTGTCATGAAGCCTGTAGGATATTCAGCAGACTCTCTTCTTCATTGAGGCTTGACTACATTACCTATTTCTCATAGCTGTTGTTTGGACTTGGTCATTCCATCAGCCATGTGGCCTCTGTGGCATTTTGAGTCTGTCTGCCTCCTTTTAGCTGCCTACTCTGAAAAACAAAAAGACTTTATACACTTCTAAGCTCCAGACTCTTCTTTTCCAACAGGAGACATGTCCCAACTCTTTTTACTTAATGAGTTTCCTTCTGTTCAACTGAGTCTTGTCCATTTCATTCCTACTTGCCAGAGAAATGATTTTTTCCTAAAGCTTAGAATATAAAAATACATTACCACATACATTCTATTTCAAGTAATCACCAAAGTTATTAAAAATGCATATACTGAGTGATAGAATTAGAAAGACAGCCTTTCTTCTCGCAGATGGATATTCACACTTGTTTGTTTTCCTATACCGAATAGCTGTCCATAGAGATTTATGACAGAGATGTTGGCAGCATTTGCATCAATTACTGGTGTTTTATGAGAGAAAATGAATGAAAGGGGAATTTTTTGGGGAAAGGATTATGCACTTTGTTTTTCTCAAGTTTTATTGATATTTTCTTCCAATCTTTGTTTCTTTTAGCTTTCCTTCGAGTAGTAATTTATTCTTTTATTTTTCTTTACATTTGAAAGTTTCCTACTCTGCTTCCAACTTTATTATTTTTATTAAAACTTAATTCTCAAAATAAGGAATTTTGTGTTTAAAATTTGTAGTTAAAATCATGTTCAAGTTGGTTCCCCACTTTACATTCTGTCAGTTTCTTGGGGTGAAGGGAAGAAAGGAGGATGAAGAGGAATTTATTCTCTTGGACTGCCCTCCAAAGAATCCTTCTCTATATTTTAAAAGTTCTTATTCTTTTTTAGGAGTCCAATGTGCTGATTGCTGCTAACAGTCAGGGTACAATTAAGGTAAGTTATTTATTTTATACATCTGCATTTTAAATTCAGTTCAATTTTTAGACTATAACTATAACATGGAAATAGAGTTATACTAGCCTTAGAGGTATTTCCAAATCATGTCTATGTCTACTTGGAAATGGTTTTGATTGAAGGGGAAAAGAATAAGTAGCTTGCAACTATGGAGAAGATGATAGTACTTATTATAGGTTACATGAATGTTCAGTGGATTGATCAGTGGTCAGAATGAAAAACAGGCAGTGGCTGTTAAGCATTTGCTGTGGGCCAAGTGCTGTTCAGCTTCTTTTCTATGCCAGTCCAAAGACCCTCAGGGCCTTCCAAGATAGAGCTGATGATGCTTAGACATTCACCAGATTTAAAAATATCTTACTCTTCTTCATGTCCTCTTCCCTGACAAGTGGGTTTTTCTTCAGTTGCCAAGGAAAGAAAAGGTATTTTAGTGTTCTGTTGAAAATTGATCCATTTTGTGATCTTGCCATTAGTGTGATCCAGTGTCTCTGGGCCCACAGTCTCAGTGTCAAATTCATACATACTTTTGTAGTTAAGTGCTTACGGAAGTAAAAATTATACCCAATTATACCATTGGATATTTAACACTTGGGGCACAATACATTAGACAAATAAATCTTGACCTAAGCAGTGAACTTTTTAAACAAAATACCATTTTGGAGGAGTTTTTTAATATAGGAGTTTAATCTCTTATTCTGTGGATATCAATTCTTTCCACATATTCTCTGTTGATATAGAGATATCTAGAAGTTGTTTATTTTTTTTTTAAATATGTACTTATTTCCCCTGCCACATAGCGTTAATTTTGCCATGATTTCCTTTCACTCATCCTAAGTGGGGAATGACTTAGCAACCACGGGAGCAAATCCAAGCTTAACACCCTGTCCTACAGATGAAGGGAGCAAACTCGAAGCAGAACTGCACTGTTAGCTGCCATACTCATTCCTTTCTAGGCAGCTAGTTTCTCCACTTGGAAAGCCTCATTAGAAAGCCATGGGCAACTTAAACGAAAGCCAGGCTTTTGAACTGATCAGTGTTACATTCTGAAAGCCTCAAGCAAGATGGTAGAAGGTCTTGGAATCTCTGTTTTAAGTGGTTCTCTGTAGTCTCTCAATCTCCCTTTATCTTATTTTCATGACAAACCATTTTTTAATAAGCTGCACCTTATTCTTCTGTAAGTTTGACCTTTGAGGCTATTGGAATTGCTAAATTAAGCTCAAAGTTACATAAGCACTTACAGAATCTTAGTGACAAGTCTAAGATTTTGTTCAATAGCATTGACCTCTTATGTTAAGTAGCCTGCTTGCTTACCATAAAGATAAAAACCATTTTGGAAACACAAGTGTAAGGCAAACCTTAGCACTAACAGAAGGGGAAATAGTTGCTCCTTTAATTCTTTGCCCCCTAGAATTACACTCTCCATCTTACATTCTTTTTGACAGTGGCTTGTAATTTTTCTCATGTTCTTTGTTCTTTCTTAGCCATTTCTTCTATTCTTCTTATAACTGATCATTGCTTCTTGTCATTTTTTAATTTTAGTGATATTTCACCTTTAGTGTGACAAGACTCTACTGTAATAACTAGAAAGATATTTTGACACCAGATGCTTAACTAGAAAATATGTGAAACAATAGGCAAAGGCAAAATATTAGGTCCTGTATACCTTGATACTGTAAACTGTTTACCAATGGGAGAAATAAATAGCTTAAAATCCTAAACAGCAATACTTAAACTTTTCTTAAGAATATAGTAAGACACCAAAAGTAGGTTTACAGTTGTATCCACTTTTGATTATAATAATTAATAAATAAAAATACAAGAATAAACACAGAGTTCTAACCGGTTTGGCTCAGTGGATAGAGCATTGGCCTTCAGACTGAAGGATCCCAGATTCTAGTCAAGGGCATGTACCTTGGTTACGGACACGTCCCCAGTAGGGGGTGTGCAGGAGGCAGCTGATCGATGTTTCTCTCTCATCGATGTTTCTAACTCTCTATCTCTCTCCTATCCTATCAGTAAAAAAATCAATAAGATATATTTTTTAAAAAGAGTAAACAGTTTATTCTTGTATTATTATTTATTAACTTAGTATTATATTCATAAGTGGATACAATTATGAACCTACTCTTGCCATATCCTGTATATGTTCAAAAATGTTATATCTATGCTATGCATCAGCCAGTTTCTTTCTAATTAACTGGAGATAACTAATCTCAGAGCATTCATCCAACTGTTCAATTGAAATCAAGAAAGGATTAATGACTAATTCCTTCAAATTCTTTGGTATTTTAGCAGTTAGCGTAAGTTTTCCTGATTTAGTTCTCCATTTACAATATAGTAAAGATGCATTACTAGTAAAACTCTTTATATGTTTTTAAACTTTTTATTAAACTGATCCTTTTTTTCCCCTAATTAGGTGCTGGAATTGGTATGAAAGGTTTATTCAAGTTAAATTGTACTTGGTCCTGCTGAAGTATATCTGCAGCCAACAGTGAAAGAAGATAGAGACTGTCACAAGTTTCCCCCCAATATCATCATGGGTTTTTAATTTGTTTTGAGTATTTTTTCTTTTACTTTCCCCCCTCCTTTATGCTCTTTGGGACACTGGGAATGCCCAGTGAACTCTGCACCATCAATGTAACTGTGGACTTTGCTGCTGTTGATGGTGTAGTTATCTAATTTTTGTGATAGGGAAACAAATTCTTTTAAATAAAAGTAAATAACAAAAAATAATAAAAGTTTATTGAGCCATAGTTGACCTGGGAAAGTTTGTATCAGTTGTGGCAAGAGATGGTAATTTCCTCAAGAAGTAGCACACATGATCTGTAGAATAATGTACCCACTGAGTAGTTTTTAAGGCCCATATTTCCCCACCTCTTTGGAATTATACATGTCAACATAAATGTAAAACTATGTGGGTTCCTTTCAGTGAATTTAATGTTTACAGGTGGGAATATTAATAACTTTACCATACAAATTCCTTTCTTCATTCTCTGGCCAGATTTTTCTCGTCAGCAAGTGCTATACTCCTCAGTCCCTCTGATTCTGATCAAAGATCTAAAATTTTGACTTAAGACCACATTCACACAGAAAGGGGATGTCAGTCTGTGACAGGTATCTTTGTCTCTAAAGTGTCACACATATATGTCATAAGCCTTAAATGCAGGCAAATCAACTTAGTTCAACACCTGCACTTTCTGTAAAGAGACAAACAGTAAATATTTTCAGCTTTGCAGGTCATAAGGTTTGTGTCTATATGCAACTCTGTCTTGTAGCAGGAAAGCAGCTACAGCCAGTAGGTAAACAAGTGGGCATAGCAGTGAAATGGGTGGAGGGTTAAATTTGGCCCACAGATAATGGTTTGCCAGTCCCTGGCATAGAGGTAAAGAATTTGAAGTTCTTTTACCCAAATATCCAAGCCATGTAATCTCTTAGACTGTCTAGTTACTTTTCTAAATAGTTTTCAGTTTGTAGAAGGAAAGAAGTTGGTGGAGTAGCAGGTTAAGCAAAAGTAATGTAAAGCCTTCTATTTGAGCTACTTTAAAAATCTGAATGCTTTTTAAAAAAAGATATAAACAGAATTAACTCCATATATTTTTTTAAAATAGACACTTAGAGAAACTTGGTATGAATAACTATATAAATAATATATGTTTTGTAACACCTTCCAACAGAGTCTGGAAAAATAAATGTGTTATTCTCAAACATATTAATATTCTGCAGGAAAAAAAAGCCACACACACACAAAAAGAACACCAAAAAACTTTCACTTTACATGGGTTTAATAAAAGCTAAAAATAGTCTTGCATCAATCCAGATCAGGTTTTTTGTTTTTTTAATCCTCACCCAATGATATGTTTTATTTGTTTGTTTGTTTGTTTATTTATTTATTTATCTATTTTTGAGAGAGAGAGAGAGAGCGAGAGAGAGAGAGAGAGAGAGAGAGAGAGAGAGAGAGAGAGAGAAAGAAACATTGATTATTGCCTCCCACACACACCCCAATCACAGATTGAACCCACAACCAAGGTATGCGCTCTGACTGGGAAAGGTATATGGGAGGATGCCCCAATAGATGGAGCCACCCAGCCAGGGCCAGAATAGTTTTTACCATCCAATGAGTTTACCGCTAACATGGGTGAAATTTTTTTATTTTCAACTTCACAGTTATATCTTACTAACTTCTAGGAGTTGATAAACTTTTGGACTCAATTCTGAGAGGAAAGGTCACTGTCATTCAAAAGTTATGCCTGTCATCAGTCAGAACAGTGTTAGTTGACCTTTGTTTCTAAGACTAATGAGCGACCTTTTGCAGAGGTGCAGAAGGAATATTCAAGTGTAGGTTCTTCTCTTGAAGAACTTCATGTAGGCAGATGGGTCCAGAAAAATCAAAACAGGAAGCAGAGAGTTCATGTCTCTTTAAATGTGCTAAAATAGCAGATTTTTGTGGTATTTTATGTGATCTGATTTTTAAAAATATGTTATTTTTGGAGGGGTCATGTTAATTTTCATGGGTTTGGAAGAATGTAATAGGGTACTTTAGTTATCAAAGGGACTGAATTTTTTTTTACTGAGTTATTTTAAGGCAGTACTTTAAGTTTGTGTTTTAACTTCTTTTCTTGTAAATAGTGAACAATTTTTAAATTTGTAGTTTTATAGGATTTCAATATCAAACTATTATTATTACTTGGAAAAATAACGTAACAATTAAATAAAGCTTAAATATAATGTTCATTTTAACACCCCCCCCCCCAAAAAAAAAAAAAAAACACCTTTTAACTCAAGAAGAATTTGGGTTTTTTATCTTTCAGTCTAATCTCTATTTCAGCAGATTTGTGGAGAGTTTCTTAAACACAAGATGTGCATTAGACACATTAAAGATTGAAGAACTTTGTAAAGTTCTTATAACAAGATGGAGTTACTAGACATCAGAAAATTTATGGGAGTGAGCCACAACTTCAGAAAGATGAGCATGGTTGGCATTAATGAACAAGGAAGAGACAAGTATGGGATGAGTTTGAAGAAGTAGAGGAACCCACTAGATATTTGCAGTTCTTTGGGACATGGTTGAGAATTTGAATTTTGTTATAAAAGCAGTGCCAAGGAAGGGTTAAGTAGAACAATATGATCTCATTTATTGTGAGTGGATGGATGTAGCAAGAGTACAATTAGGAAGATGATCAGTCAAAAGTTAATGGTGACTTAGACAAGGATAATAGCATGATCCAGCCTAAAAACTATTTCAGCTTAATTGTTTACCACAGCATTAATTCCTATATCTGAGAGTCTTGATCAATTTTTAAAGTCATTTTCTCATAAGTCCTGACAATGAAGAATATAACTCAGCAAATTTATTTCTTCAGTGGTTATGCAATTCTGAACTAGCACTAAGTCACTTGGGAACTCCATGACCAAAATATCTATGTGCTATTTTAGGGATACCACTTCTCTAAGGTAAGCAGTGCTAGAAGCTACCTAGCCTTTGGTTCTAAACAATGAGGTAATTTCATTCCTCTTAATGTAGTTATGCAAATGTAACTGGGATTAATGGTCAGGAAATAGGCTTACTTAGAAGTGAGACATGAGGAAGTGTTAACTTAGATCCTGAGCCTCTTGTGTTATATGACCGATTAACACAACAGTAACACCTTGTAGTTCCTCACAGAGCAGTTAGTTACCAACTTCAGTGTGGCTTCTGGTTAATATGTTAGGCATTCCTAGACTAAAGAAAAAACTATAATGATCATTCCAGAAATATTTGTTGAGCTCCTGTTTTGTGCAAGTGAGGCACTATGTACTATATATAAAATAAAATATGATCAAAAAGCTTATGGTCCAGAGGGAAAGATGATAAGTATACAGTGTATAAACACATAATGTAAAATTTAGATGTACAGTAATAGGAAAATTCATAGCCTAGAATGGCAGGAGATAAAGTTCAGTGGGAGTAGAGATGGTTGCATGAATTTTTTTCCTTGGAGGAGGTAACTTCTCAGCTGAATCATGAAAAGCAAGGATACGTTCAAGACTAAAGGAAGCAAGGCATGAGTAGCTCCTACTGTCCAAAGCTGGAATAATTTGAGCAACAAATAAATGATTGAGTGAATAAATAAATGGAAAGAAGAGAAATTTTTCATGGAACATAATTGCCACTTCTACATATGGGCTGTGCATAGTGATTTCCTTCCACAAAGTCCAGTAAGGAAGAAAAGAAAAAAATTAACTTGCCAGTGGAGAAATCTGACAAATATTGCCAGAGCCTGTTGATTGGGATCATCATGAAAAATTGTAAGTCATGTTGATGATAGTATATACTCTTAATATGAGGTACTTAAAAATGGCACTTCAACTTTGGGATCTTCCCAAAATTAGTAACCCCAATCTAAATGAATATATAAATACATATCAGATGAATCTCTATTGAGAGGCTTCCTATTAACTAGCTGGTCATCCTCAACATGGTCAAGATCATCAGAACAAGGAAAGTGAGAAACTATCACAGCCATGCGGAGCCTAAGGTGACATGAGAATGTAATGTGATGTCCTGGATGAGTCCTGAAACAGAAAAGGACGTTGCATGAAAATGGAGTCTGAATAAAGTACTGGACTCAAGTTGATATAATGTATTAGTATTGATTCATTAATTGTAACAAATGTACCATACTAATGTCAGATGTTAATAATAGGGGAGATGGGGCGCAGTATGTATGGAACTCTTGATTTCTTTGCAATTTTTCTATAAATCTAAAAAAAATTTTTTTTGGTCAAAAATAAAGGTTTGAGGATAGCTTCAACGTATACCAAATGAAGTGCAAGCCAGTAATTCAAGCTGGAGAAGTACATGGAATAAATCTGATCTGTTTCAGCTATCACAAAGAAAAGCAAACGCAGAGTTTAGGGGAGGTTTACAGTCTCCACTTTGTCACTAACAAATTGTATAATTTTGCAAGATAGTAAACCTTGTACTCTTTATCCCTAAGTTTTACCAACCGAGAATGATATTCTCATCTTAATAAATAAGGTTATACTATACAGAGTCCTTATTCATTGTTGTGAGTTAGTCACTCAGATATGTGAGTGCCTGCAATTATTTGTTTCATTTTATTTGAGGTCATTATAGCTTCTCAATATGAGAATCGAGAAATCTGTTCATTTGCATATCATTCTAATTTGTTCTTTGTGAATCATTTGCCCTTTATCAGTTTCAGAAGCAAACTCCCTAGTGCCCAAGTTCTGAAGGAGATCTTGGCTTGGAAGTGGGTAAGGACTCATGAATTCTAAGTTGACATTTCCAAAGATGATAACAGCCTAGGTTCACCAACTACTGTGTAGAGCAGTGGTCGGCAAACTGCGGCTCGAGAGCCACATGCGGCTCTTTGGCTCCTTTAGTGTGGCTCTTCCACAAAATACCACGTACCCTAATTAAGTTAACAATGT